TGGATTTCAGAGAGCTCATTTTTGTTGTACTACGTTTATAATGACCACAGATTTCAGTTGTTTATGATGCTACTTCTCTTGTTTTGACATGGACAGGATTGAGAAAATGTGGATGCGAGACGGAGCAGGCTACTTCTTCGGCCCCATCTTTATCCATCCCGAAGAAACAGAACACGAACCCACCAAGATGTTCTACAAGAAAGAGGTGTTCCTCAGCAACCTGGAGGAGACCTGCCCCATGACCTGCATCATAGGTGCCCATCAGCCTTAGACTGAATTCCAGCACTTTATTGACAAGCAGGTTTAATAATTCATCGCTACAATTTGCACTTATAAGAATCATTAAATGCATTCACTGAATTAGGTTTCATTTCACAGGAAAGTGTATCGTGTCGTCCTTCAAAGACTACTTGTCGTGTCGGCCCACTGAAGTGCCTGAAGAGAATGTTCTGCTCTGTGAGAGTCGCTACATCGAGAGTGAAAAGCAGATGAAGAAATTCAAGGGTCTTAAGCGGTTTTCACTCTCTGGGAAGGTGGTGGAGGATGAAATCTATTATTTTAGGTAAACAACCTATACATGAAACACGTGCGTCACTGTTTGAAGGTTTTAAAAGGAACACAAGACAAATGATCCTACATACCTAAGCAATGAAACAGAGTGACACAGGTCAGTGTATATTCACGTTTCCTGGTTGTTCCTTCCTGTTCCTGTATCGTCTATGTGTGTTTTCTAATTTAAAAAAAAAAGAGGCGTCAAAGACTTGAAGCCAGTTCTTTATCCATGAATGAATTATTTAGAAAAGCTTGATGAACTCCTCTGAATATTTTTCTAATTGACTTATACAGGAAGCTCATAGTGCCACAGAAGGAGCCATCACCGCTTCTTGACAGGAAAATTGAAGAACTGGAGGCCAAGTTTGCTGACATGACAGATGAAGAGCTGGAGGACCTTGGGGATGATGATGGCGAGCTGGGGGACCAGTCTCTTCCTCAGATGCAGTCTTCCATGTCTAGTGACATGGACATCATGCCTTACACTCCTCCACAGGTCAGGGTGACAGTATTTAATCATTAAGTGGTTAATTAACTGAAGCTAATTGTGCAGCATTTTTGTAAATGGTTCTCCTGTTCTTGTTTAAAGTCCACCCCAAAATCCATAAAGGGTCTTTCAAAGAAGGAGGGTTCAAAGCGGAAGATCAACATGAGTGGTTACATCCTGTTTAGCAGTGAGATGCGAGCCGTCATCAAAGCCCAGCACCCAGACTTCTCTTTTGGGGAGTTGAGCCGTCTCGTTGGCACGGAGTGGAGGAACCTGGAGAGTTCCAGGAAAGCAGAGTATGAAGGTGAGAATTCTGACTTGATATTTTTTTTAGAGAGAGATTAAAAAGATCTTTGTATTGATCGAGTTGCTTGTGCATCAAAAAGTTTGACCAAAAAGTTCATAGCTTAAATTTGTCTTGTTGCATTTCAGAGCGAGCAGCTAAGGTGGCTGAGCAGCAGGAGCGTGACAGGGCCCAGCATCAGACGTCCCCAAGAGCAGGTACCCCAGTAGGGGCACTGATGGGGGTGGTGCCTCCCCCAACCCCCATGGGGATGCTAAATCCTAGCATGACGCCTGTGTCAGGTAACCCCTCATAAATGCAGATGGATCCCGAGTGTACACTAGAGGGCTGGAATAAGAAGCTAAACTGCTAAACATTTTTTTCACATTTTTAACATTCCTGATCGCACTCATCAGCATGTTTGTGATGTTGCAATGCTGTGATTTCATTGTGTGTTTCCTCTAACAGTATTTCACTTCTCAAACCTTGAATGGTGTACAACATCTGTTATGCTTCAAACCTCACATCATGTATAAATCCACATGGTCAACATGACTGTTCTGATTATGGACTGGCCTGCATGTGAATGCAGAACCTGAAGTGTGCAGGCTGCTGTATGCCCTTTGAGGATTGAGACCAAAAGAAAATGAATTCATGCTTGACAGTCGTGCATGTGCACCAAGTTGTTGTCATTGTGCCGTTCTCATTTGTGTGGCCTTTATTTCCATTGATCCCCATCATAAGATCTGGTGCTTAAATGATGGCATAAACTGTATATTAACATATTAATGCATGCTTGGTAGGGAATGCTGGTTTAACTGATGCATGTTGCTGTTTTGTGTTACTGCTGTTCCTTCCTAAGAAGGTATGATGGGTGCATTTAGGTCAGCTATGATGCCCCCGCTGGGCCATGTTGAAGGCATGGTTAGTATGACTGGCATACCACCGCATCACATAGGGGTGCCTGTTTTTCCCCAACATCTCCTTCCCGTTATGCCTGGGTTCCCTGGAATGCCATACTTTGGTAAGAGTGCTGTCATGGCCACCCCACCTGCCACGCAGTTGCTTCCTGTCTACCAATCTGACTTGTTGGAGGGGCTACCTGTACCAATAGGCTCAGGTCCTTAAGCTGATGACTAGTCAGTTGAGAACAGTCTCATATGGGACTGGGTTATTTGTTCAGCTCATTACCAATAGGTTTGATGGTAATGTGTCACTATAAACTAAAATTGGCTGCTTTCACTGAATCCAAAATTCATCTCTTCACTATACTCTTGATTAGGTTATAAATCACCCAAATGAGCACTTATCTTTAATGATTGGCATTCCTAAGAGTTTTAACATACGCAAAATAAAACAAGTTCACTTCTCGTATGACATTTTAAAAGTAGTGTTTGGAATACAAACCAAAGTAAGCGGCTCGCTCCACGTTTTGACAATGTCCTGATGTTCAACATTCCACAGGTGTCAACGGCATTGGAAGCGGAACTGGAGCAGGAAATGTTCATGGATCTCAGGTAATCTGTTAGAAACCACTGCAAACCATATGTAAGATCAAAGCTGAGGTAGATGTTGCTACCCTGATGAAGACATGCATGTTTGGAGGAGAACGGAAAACATCAGGAAGTTGGGTTTGCACAACCTTACTTCTGCAGATTTTCAGAAATGAGAGTGAAAAACTTCTTCAGTGTTTTTCTACTTTTAACTAATTTGAAATTGTTAACTGGGATGCCAAACCTAACGCTCCATCGAGAGGCAATAGATGTTCACTGTGCGCTACTCTGGATGTGGGGCTGCTTTGTAGCTTTCTGTGTATATGTAGGTATTTGTGGTGATCAGTTGTGTCAGTTCTTTTCTGAATCAGATAAATAATAGGGTTCTTCTAACATTTTCGTCAGATGGGTTTGATGGGCTCAGGGCAGCAGGCTCCACCACCGTACCCAGGACAAGGCCAGGTGGGACAACCTGCACTCCAACAGCCCTCCACTCCAGTGTTTGTGTCGCCACCTGCCAAATCTCAGCGGCTGCTCCACTCCGAGGCCTACCTCAGATACATTGAGGGCCTTACTGCCGAATCCTCTACCGTTAGCAAGTGGGATCAAGCTCTGTCAGGTTAATTTTGTAGTTTGATGCCAAGTGATTAGGCATAGAAATGTTAAACAGCAATGATACAAGCTACCATAATATGACATATACTGTACATATTTATGCATCTTGCTTGTCAAACCGTTATGTTTGACCCCTGATCATATCTTTATTTGAACATTATTTCACAGGCTTGTCATTCAGTTATACTTCTGTCATAACTGTGTGTTACTGGCCTCTTAATGGGAACGCACACAGATTGAATTAATTAATAATAATAGATAGACAATAAATACATAATAGATTTTTTTCTTTGTGCTTTCAGTTCAAAAGCAGGATGTGCGCCTGACAAAAGAGCAAGAGAGTAGACTACCATCTCACTGGCTGAAGAGCAAGGGGGCCCACAAGACCATGGCAGACGCACTTTGGCGACTCCGTGACCTGATGCTGCGAGACACCTTAAACATCCGTCAGATGCACAACATGTAGCGAGTTCATATTTACGAGCCTCTGCTCCCACAGCCTGTGAGACAGGAAGAGGGTTAAGCTCACTAAAAGTCTTCATTTGTTGTTCAGTTGTTTGACTTGTTGTCATAAAAGAAAAGGAAATGTTTGTATTCATACAAGCTGCTTTCTGTATTGAAGCTGTGTTTTGTTTTACATTTCAGATATGCTGTTCTAAGTGCATTATTGTTAATGGCTGTCATTCTGTAAGGAAGGCCTTCATGCTTTCACAATTAAAATGTGAAGAGTTCACTTTGACTGTGTTCATTTCCTCAGCGGGATCGAGTGTTTGTAGATGTTTGAAAGGCATCGCTTGATAAGTCATACCCCAGTGTTTAATGATATTCTATGGCTATCTTTATTTGGGATATATATAGAAATTTAAAATAAACCTTAGCAGGGATTTTGAATCATGATCTAATATAAATAGTTGTAATGCTGCACTTGAGGCCAAGCAAGGGGCGTGTCTTACAGCCTTCTCCTGACATGTGCGCTTGCGCAGTACAGTGACCGCGCAGTTCCTTTTACTCCAGCCGTTTGAAAGCTGGCAAGGCGAGCACGTCTGCACGGTTAGTAGTGGCTCTCCATCCCATCCTGACTGAAATTTACCGTCACGGTAAGACTTACCGTTACTTTAACAATTAACATATCCAGTAATGCCGCATTTAGCGTCCTTAATTTGTTATCGTTCACTCACTGGCGCCTAAACGCGTAGTGTCCGTAAATCAGCTAACTTTATGGTTAGCAGCAAACACATTAGCAAGCTAGCGCTAACATTAGCCGGCTGACTTAGAGGGGACCGGCTGCTGGATCAGTCTATTCACTGGAACAGGGCTTTTGCTTCCCATAGCGCTTTAGATTGTATTGTATGCTTTATTGGTTTGTCAGGACAGTGGTGCAGTCGGTACAGTCTGTTTAAATGTCATAACTTTACACATACCCTCTACATGCGATATCCCGACCGCCATGTGCTGATATATAAACTTACAGAGGACTAGACAACCTTTAGCCTGCTAGCTCAAGCGTTACACTGCACAAACCGATCTGGAGTCAGTTGGGCCAAGTGAGCTAATGCCAGATTGAGGTAATGTAGCCAATCTAGCTCGGTTAGCTGCTAGCAAGCTATACTGAATGCATGCATGACTTACACTAGCAGAGGAACTTGGTTTTAAGAATCGAGTTTGTTAGATAGAAAAATAGTTTTAATCACAGCGCGTACTGTGTCAGCACTTTAAGTTAGCACACATTAGTGAACTTAGTATAACATGATGTTGAAGGAACCGATGCACACGTTTGTATAAGGTGTTGCTAAACTGTGTACAAGTTATGAAGCATTTTGATAAAGCCCACATGCCGACTGTATGCCACTTAACCTCGTAGCACATCGAGACACGTGTTTTTGTCTTTCATTCATTTACACATTGTTTTATCCGTCCCTAGCTGCGAGCATGGAACTAAATGATGCTAACCTACAAACCCTGACTGAGTTCCTGAGGAAAACACTGGACCCAGACCCCACAATCAGGCGTCCAGGTAATACAATACAACGACAAGGCATTCATTTACACATTCTAAGACTGTATGTCTAATGTTGTTGCCATTGACCTATTTATGGTAAGAACCAACCCCGCTCTGCAACATATGTCTGTCTGTTTGTCTTTCTCAGCTGAAAAGTTCCTTGAATCCGTGGAGGGAAACCAGAACTACCCGCTGTTGCTTCTCACTTTGCTGGAGAAATCCCAGGACACCGTGATCCGTGTCTGTGCTGCTGTTACCTTCAAGAACTACATCAAAAGAAACTGGAGAATTGTGAGTTTCACTAAGTAGCAGCAGGTTGTCATGTCGTTGCCTCTGCGCATGCTTGGTATCTTGTGCAGTGATAGACTTCATCCAGGTCCAGTTGAAATGGATTACAGTTTACCTCTGTTGTCATACCAGACTGGTGTGTCACTGAGCTGGATTTTTTTGACATAGGCATGTCAGGAGGTCTGTCTGTGGGGTTAAGAAAGCATTGCCATTCACACGTATTAAGGATCAAAATATGCATTGAACTTTTGTATTTAATTTGTTGGTGTGTTCCCTGAATGCTTTTGTTTGTTTTCCCAAAGGTTGAAGATGAACCAAACAAGATCTCTGATCAAGACCGAACAGCAATCAAAGCTAACATTGTAAATTTGATGCTGAGCAGTCCGGAGCAGATTCAGAAACAGGTACATCTTCACGTCATCGTAGCTGAAAGGGGCCAATTTGAAAGTGTTGAATAGCATGCTTAAATAAACCCCTGCCTATATGTCCCATGTGTTTCCACAGTTGAGCGATGCTATCAGTATCATAGGAAGGGAAGACTTCCCTCAAAAATGGCCGGACCTTCTGACAGAGATGGTGACCCGCTTCAGAAGCGGTGACTTCCACATCATCAATGGAGTGCTTCGGACTGCACATTCCCTCTTCAAGAGGTAGAGCTAACGTGTTAATAATATATAATGTTTTCTATCAGTACGTTTATGCAGAAATTTATAATATTTTTCCCACGTTTTTTTTTTCTTTTCAAGGTACCGCCATGAATTCAAGTCAAATGAGCTTTGGTCTGAGATAAAACTAGTACTGGACACATTTGCTCTACCTCTGACAGAGCTCTTCAAGGTTTGTCATGTTGTTTTGTTACCACAAGGCTACAAGTAAACTAGTTTGTATGTAACATCTGACAAATATCATAAAGTCTGACAAAGCTAAGATGGCATTTAACAAGGTTTCTGTCTTTGTTGCAGGCTACAATTGAGCTGTGTCAGACTCATGCTACAGACATCAATGCCTTGAAGGTCCTCTTCTCCTCACTCACACTCATCTCCAAGCTTTTCTACAGTCTTAACTTTCAGGTCAGTCCAGCTCCTTTGCTCTGAACAGACATGTTTTAGAGAGTGTCAGTGCCTCTGTGATTGCTGGTAGATTAAATCTCTTTTAAAAGAAAAAGATGGCAAGACTTTGTCCAGACGTCCGGTCACAGAGCTCATTGTAATTAATTAGTCTTAAATAAACTGGTTCATTAATAACAAAACATCCAAAAGGCGTTCCAAAGATTTATTAATTCTAGCAATGATTTTAACTAATTCAGTTATATAATAGTAATAAATGATAATAAACATGCACGGTAAAATAAGGTAGTCATGCTTTAGTAGTTCAGAAACGTGTCACTGAATTTGCCCAACACGGCAGTCAGGTCAGCTTGTGTTTATTCAGTAAATCAAATACACCTTTATCAGGGGTGTTTGCCTCTAACTGTACTCTGCATTTTAACACAGGACCTTCCAGAGTTTTTTGAAGACAACATGGAAACCTGGATGACCAACTTCCACGGTCTGTTGACTTTGGATAATAAGCTTTTACAAACAGATGTGAGTCATCTTTTTTTTCCTTTTCCTGCATCAGATTTTTAACACCGGGTGAAGTTGTTGTCAACGTTTATTGATCTGTTTGTTTTCCTTGTGACGTCTCCTCAGGATGAGGAGGAAGCGGGTCTCCTGGAGCTGCTCAAGTCTCAGATCTGTGACAATGCTGCTCTTTATGCTCAGAAGTATGATGAGGAATTTCAGCCATACCTGCCACGCTTTGTCACTGCTATCTGGAACCTTTTAGTTTCTACCGGCCAGGAAGTCAAATATGACCTGGTGAGAGTACCGAGCCCTGCTGTTTCTGTGTTTTTCTTGAAGTTAACTTTCCCTGTACTGACACCTACACACCTATCTTTGTTGCAGCTTGTAAGCAATGCTATCCAGTTCTTGGCGTCAGTCTGTGAAAGGCCACACTACAAGCATCTGTTTGAGGACCAGAATACACTCACTAGCATTTGTGAGAAGGTCATTGTGCCCAACATGGAGTTCAGAAGTAAGTAAATGTTTTGTTTTGTTGGGTTTTTTTTTTTGCCTCGGATTCAAGGCTCTGCTTGCTTGGATACAAACATGTGCTTATGTAGCGTTTGACACCGACCATATTGCCTCTAATGTCCAATTAGGTGCTGATGAGGAGGCCTTTGAAGATAACTCAGAGGAGTACATTCGCAGAGACCTGGAAGGATCTGGTAAAATTTAAATTATTGTTTATAGCCTTCTGTCATACAAATGATTGATCAGTCTTCTATTTTATTTGAAATCTTTATATGCTGTGAGTTTGACTGTTTGGACTGTCAGTCATATTTCCATCTTGCCATGTAAGATTGCTGAAGACCTGGTCCTTAGTGATTTAAGTGGCTCAGTTGGTTGCAGCGGTTGATGAAAATCGTTTTTCCTCAGACATCGACACTCGCCGAAGGGCGGCATGCGACTTGGTGCGAGGCCTTTGTAAATATTTCGAGGGGCCCGTCACAGCGATCTTCTCTGGCTACGTGAACTCCATGCTGGCAGAGTACGCCAAGAACCCTGGAGAGAACTGGAAACACAAGGATGCTGCCATCTATTTGGTCACATCGCTGGCGTCTAAAGCCCAGACGCAGAAGGTATAGTTGACTAAATGTTTAAATGTTAGTGAGTGAGTGCACATTTAAAAGCTCTGTTAACAGCTGTGTACTTACAGCATTTTGTTTTGTGCTTTCCCCACAGCATGGAATAACACAGGCCAATGAGTTGGTGAATCTGACTGAATTCTTTGTGAACCACATTCTCCCGGACCTAAAATCTGCCAATAGTAAGAGCACCCTTCTAGTTCTCTGTGTGCTGCACAAGTCTAGCATGTCTGATGAGCAACACCAGCTGTCTCATTTACAGACTGGCTCCATGTTGTTTTATTTTATCTGTTTGTTCATTTCATTTCTACAAATAGTGGTATTTTGTGATGCTGAAACTGTGAATAACTGTGTTATCTGGTCAAATTAATCACACCTGCACTCTTATTGTAGTTAACGAGTTCCCAGTGCTGAAGGCAGATGCCATCAAGTATGTTATGATCTTCAGAAGTCAGGTATGAACTCTTGCTTTCTGCGTATCATCTTCTTCAAAGGGGAAAGTTAAGTTGTTGCTGAGACCTCCTTCTGTCTTCTTCCTTCAGCTTCCGAAGGAGCAGCTGCTGCAGGCAGTTCCTCTGCTGATCAGTCACCTGCAGGCAGAGAGCACAGTGGAGCACACGTATGCGGCACATGCTCTGGAGAGACTGTTCACGATGAGAGGCCCCAACAACACAACACTGTGAGCATCCAGCAACATAACACATGTTTATGTTGTATACCTTCAGCATTAATCAAAACAGTGGTAGAGCTCAAGCGATGTTAATTCACTGCTTGTCAACACATGTAAATGAAGCAGTCAGGACATGATTATGATTGAATGTGTTGGTATTTGTTTTGTTTTAATGCGCCAGTCAGAACAAGTCACGCTTCTGCATTTTTGATACCAGTTCTAAGTGGGATATACATTTTCATTAGTTGCAGTTAAAACCTGAGCTGCATGGTGGAGTGACTCGTTCACTTTAGTTAACCAGCTGCTGCAAACAGCTGCTCAGCTGGAACAGATGGCCGCAAATATGTCGCGTCAACTTCATTATTCTAGGAAATCTGTCAGTATTTACTGTCACCTCTAAAGTGTATTTCTACACATCGCTCCCCGCTGACAGACGATGAGCTCCCGGCTTGTGTTGGTGTTTAAAAATCAGAGTTTAGCTTGTTGTGCTTGTTTTAATAGACCCACACCTGTAACTCCATTGTTTATTAACGACAATTAATCAATTGTTCTTTAACATCTCTGCGAAACACGTCATTTTTATTAGTATATATGAAGCGCTTATCCGTACCTAATGTTGCCTATTTGTGTTATTTTCTCCTACTTCCTAGTAGCTCTACATTATTCTAGTTTCACAAAAAGTTTCGTAGACAGCTGATATGAAATGATAAAAGGATGCAGAGGATCTTCTCAAACTGTCTTCATAGCTACTAACCCACTGTTTCAGCCAATCATCCTCTCTTTGTGTTTTCAGTATCACTGCTGCAGAGATGGCACCTTTTACTGAGTTGCTGCTCAACAACTTGTTCAAAGCACTTGCTCTTCCCGGTTCTGCAGAAAATGAATACATCATGAAAGGTAAACCTGGCTGTCTTGTCGTCTAAATGCCGCCTGCTCGGCGTCGGACCAACTCCAAAGTTATTTTAAGTAGCCTCATCATGTCTTTCTTCATTTCTAAAGCCATCATGCGCAGCTTCTCCCTGCTGCAGGAGGCCATTGTTCCCTACATTCCCACTCTGATTGGTCAGCTCACTCATAAACTCCTTCTAGTCAGCAAGGTAAAACACATTCGTTACTCTTTATAGAAACGGGTACATTTACCAAGATGTTTGTTTGGGGTGGACAAACATCTCAACTGCTTCCAAATATTTTATCACTTTTCAGAATCCCAGCAAGCCTCACTTCAACCACTATCTGTTCGAGTCCCTGTGCCTGTCTGTCCGGATCACCTGCAAGGCCAACCCCACTACTGTCAGCAGCTTCGAGGAAGCACTCTTCCCCGTCTTCACTGAGATCCTTCAGAACGATGTCCAGGGTACGTCTGTTACCTACGGAATAGACTCGTCTGCTCAGATGACTTACTGACAACCACATCTGGTGCATAATCAGACGCAACTCAACTCACTTTTTATTTGTCCTCTGTTGCAGAGTTTCTTCCATATGTGTTCCAGGTGATGTCTCTCCTCCTAGAGATCCACTCCAACTCTATTCCCGCCTCCTATATGGCGTTATTCCCTCACCTGCTGCAGCCTGTGCTCTGGGAACGAACGGGGAACATCCCCCCTCTGGTGCGCCTGCTTCAGGCCTACCTGGAGAAGGGAGGTGCCAGCATTGCAGGCTCTGCTGCAGACAAAATAGTAAGTAATGATGGTGTTGTGTACGGTGTAGAAGATGGCAGAGCAGCCACCTTTTATTCCAAATAAAAAAATGGTAGTTTGCTTTATTCTCTACCATTCACTATCAGCTTGACCTCTTTTTTTGAGCTTGCTAATTAATGCAATTGAAGCTCATAACAACATCCAGAATCACGCGTCTTTTTGCCTCTTTAGCAAAAACGACAACATATTTTTCCTAATCCATGTAACGAGTGAATTCATAGTTGCTCCTCTGCTCTCCTCAGCCCGGCTTGCTTGGAGTTTTCCAGAAGCTTATTGCCTCCAAGGCCAATGACCACCAAGGCTTTTACCTCCTCAACAGCATCATAGAGCACATGCCCCCGTAAGTCGGTTGTGGTTGTCTCCTCAGTGGATCGTCTACATTAATACACATTGAATGGTTTAGTGATGACATGTTGTTTTGCTCCGTACAGAGAGTCTATCACTCAGTACAGGAAACAGATCTTCATTTTGCTCTTCCAGAGGCTACAAAGCTCTAAAACCACCAAGTTCATCAAGAGTAAGTCCGATCTCCTCGTTACCTCCTCTTATGTTCTCTTTAGATCTTTTAATCTAAATGAACGTTGAGCCTTTTGACTTACAAGGAAGACGAGGTGTGATTTTAATGCAAATTATCTGCAGTTCCACTCTTAAATACAGTCATACAATAACACACGTTTCCACTGTTGTCTCCTCTTTGTCGCAGGTTTCTTGGTGTTTATCAATTTGTATTGTGTCAAATACGGAGCTATTGCGCTGCAGGAGATTTTTGACAGCATCCAGCCAAAGTAAGTGTGTTTTCAGTCTAAACCACAAGACGTTGACCAAAAGTTCTGCCTGTCAGTTTTTTCTTTGTCGGGTTCATCCGTCGGTACAGACATCACTCAGGGGGAACAAATTGTGTTGACATTTAAACAGGGAAGATTGATAAGCTGGCTGGCCTGTGCTGAGTTTTATGACTCATTCAAGCCATTTGAATCCGTCTTACTCACTGAACAGAAGAATGATTTTCAAGGGCATATCTTAGAGGAACGCTTCAGTGAAAACCTCATCAAACGGTCAACCTGTTTAAGTTCCTGTGAAGGATGGAAGCTGTAGTCGGCTGCATTCACAGTGAATGTCACTGGTAGAATTCAGTTTAATGGTAAAAGAGGTGTTTCACTGGCATCCATCAATCCTGGTTCCCAACCGGCAACACACAATACCCAATCAGGAAAAACTGACAGCAGTTGTGACAGAAGTATCACTGCCTAATCATGAAAACAGGCAAATTAAAGACAAGCTGGTAGGTTTGGATGGACGATGCCTTTATGTCTAATGATGGAGAGTAAAAGCAACCTCTGCCCACTGTGATGATGGCTGTGCTGACTCAGTGCCTTTGCAGGTCTCCAGCGTGTCCTCATGTTCAGTGCGACTTGCTTCTTGTGTTGCAGAATGTTCGGTATGGTGTTGGAGAAGATCGTTATTCCGGAGGTTCAGAAGGTGTCTGGACCAGTTGAGAAGAAGATCTGCGCGGTCGGCATTACAAAAGTCCTCACCGAATGTCCTGCAATGATGGACACGGAGTACACTAAACTCTGGTAAGAAACCGGCCTCGACACTGAGCTACGGTGGGAAAGTAGTCTGTGTTGATATGTAGCTAGTTAGTTAGCTTGACAACTAGAAGTTTCTAATCATTTTTACTTAGAAAGGATGGACATACAGCGAGCGCCTTATTGCAAATGATGTCAGCAGCATGAGAAGGTGGCCTCCCTTTTGCTGTTAATGGAAAAAATATAATCTCCAGCATCGCTCCATCCTAATTCATTAAAGGTCTGATCAGTCCAGGTAGCTAAAACGCCAACATGCCTGCGCTGAGGCTGTAGTCTGACTGAGCTGTCAACGCTCATCCAAGCAGCCTCTCCATGGTCAGACAGTCACTATTGTCGCTCTCATGAGGAGAACAGTGCCGCATCGACAGCCTTCCAGGATTCATCTGTTGTGTTTGGTGGCGTCAGAAACACTGTTTAGGTTTTCACATGTTTGGGTTCTGTTAAATCAAACTGAGATCGCCAAGTCTAATCTATTGAAAGTTTACTGAACGTCCACATAGATTTGCCTACAAACCAGTTGGTTAAAACGGATAAATACAGGCGTAAACAACGTGCTGTAGTCTGAACAGATGTTTTTATTTTTTTGATGTCATGTATAGGAGCCGATTGTCTCCTTTGAGTCTGGTGTTATTTCACTATCAGTTAAAGTGATTGAATATTCTGCAGATACAGTCTTTTTTTTATTTAGAAGTGGTTCATTGCTCATCAGGCTGGCAGGTACGCTGCACTTGATGCAATGTGACTGATTAATCAAGGAAGGTTAAGACTAGTGTGGAACATGATCCAGCAGTGCCTCCCAGTTAGAACTAATCCTCTGATACACATGGAGCTGTCGATGCATTTTCGTCCCGAGTAAAACTAAGAGCAGGTCTTTACTGTGTCTGCTCAGGACCCCGCTGCTCCAGGCTCTCATTGGGTTTTTCGAGTTGCCCGAAGACGACAGCATCCCGGACGACGAGCACTTCATCGACATCGAAGACACGCCCGGCTATCAGACGGCATTCTCACAGCTGGCCTTCGCCGGGAAGAAGGAGCACGACCCGATTGGGGACATTGTTGGAAATCCGAAAATCCTGCTGGCTCAGTCGCTCCACAAGCTCTCCACTGCCTGTCCCGGAAGGGTGCGTTCAGACACACGGCAGATATTTCCCATCAAAAACCACCTTAGTTCATGTTTTTAAAGAAGTCGTTTAATTTTGTTCAGCATGTGTAGCAGAAGACGTATTAACGCACATCCTCCTTCTTCTCTCCTGGCTTTGGTTTCAGGTCCCTTCGATGCTGAGCACCAGTCTGAACGCAGAAGCCCTCCAGTTCCTGCAGGGCTACTTACAAGCAGCCACCGTGCAGCTGGTTTGAAACCGAGGTGATGATGTTCGCTCTGTAAGAGACCACAATTGACTGCAAGAGTAGCCGCAGTGGCCCGGGGTCCTATCTCAGACCCGCTTCAGCTGAACATGAGACTTTACGGATTTCATTTGACTTGACAGTGATTTGATGGATTGACCAGAGAAAATAATCTTTTTTTTTTTTTTTTTTGCCTGAATTAGGATGTGTTCTCTGATGGAAGTTTTTTTTAAGGGTTTTTAAAGACATGACCAAAACATGACATAACTTCATCACTGCTTTGTGTTTGGGCCTTTTGTTTACTGTGTGGCAAAGGCTAACAAGGATTTGGACACGAGGTTCTGGTGCAGTAGTCGGTTTATTTCAGCAGCAGCAACAACATTTAACAGTATTGTGGGACGCTGAACATCTGATTCAAGTGGGAGGGCTTTCTTTAAGACTTGTTATTTTGTACGTTTGACCTACTTACGGTTCTGGACGCTGCAGTCTGTGGCTCAAACATCATGCTTAATATTTTTCTTTTGCATGTTTCCCTTAGATTTGTTAATGTCTAGTCTTTGTTTCCGCACTTGTTTGTTAATGTGAATAAAAAGAGGCACTTGTATAGATCTGTTATCAACGCTGTCTCTTCAGTTTTTCTGTCCAGTTGCTTTTATTTAACTTAACTTTTGGCTTTTTAAGGGATTTCCTTCCACTCAGAAACCCCTTCAGGGTCAGTTACGGCGACTTTTCACTTGACATTACTAAGAACTCTATACAACATTGAATGAAAGCTTTTTGGGAATAAGTGCAGAAACGTTGCTCTCCCTTCAGATAGCGAAATGAATCACAACCTGCTGTGTGAGCCTTTGGTGTCCTCATCGGTCCATGATCGATTGTCAGAAGTCCTACAAAGATTTGATATGGCCGTTGGAAGTCTTCATCTCTGTGTTCTTGATGAACGGTAACATGCACTTGTCGCCTCCCATGAAGCGATATGTCGCAACGTTTGCATCCCAAGGTAACAGCCTGCGAGTGGAGAAGAAGAGTTTGGCATCAATTGATCGCCTCAGAAACAGCTGATGATGTTTGATGCTCGTCGGTACTCACGCTCTTGCGAGGAAGGGGATGTACATGAGGCGAGGGATGCAGATCATTTGCTGCTCTGCTAGAATGGCCTTCATGGACTGTTGCACCGTGTAAAGAGGCTGCAGAGGCGGAATCAGACTCCGGAGCTCTTTCCTGATGGCAAACAAAAAGTAGACACCACAGTGTTTTTCTTATTGCGGCGTTACCAATCAAACTAGTTCTACAGTCACTACGGCTGGCCTCTCACCTGATCTCACAGCCTGCAAACATGCCCGTGTCCACAATATAGGGGCACACCAAAGTGGTTTTGATGCCGTCCAGGTCCTCCGCCAGCAGCTCGTGTGTCAGGGACTCGTGGAAACCGACCGCTCCGAATTTACTGGCGCAGTAATCCTGCAGAGGAGAAGTGAATTGAACGGAGCGATTCAACGTGATTATTCTGGGATGTTAGCTGACACGTACCTCTACACATGCAGTGCTGAACAGTCCGAGAGCGCTGGCAACGGTGACGATGTGACCGTGGTTCTCAGCTTTCATCTGGGGCAGGAAGGCCTTCGTCATCTGTTGGGTGGGTTCAGAACAAACAGATTGTCTGAGTGAGCCATCAACAGGGCCAAAAACCTGCAGACAACTCACTGAAAAAACGTTGTGTTCCTTCTCAAAGCGCCTATCTGTTTAAAGACCCCCTGCAGTGATTCTCATGTGGTGTTTATTAATTCTGGAAGTGACATCATGAGCAAAATAAGTGGTAAAAAAAAAAAAACACGGTGAGCTGGTGTGCTGGAGGTGGATGAAGAGAGATGCAGGCGTCTGCAAATTTTAGAGGAAGCAACAGTGTAGAGTTGCATAACAGCCAGTTTAAGGATGATTTTTATGGAAGTAGTGGAGCTTTGTTCTGTGGAGGACAAGCAGCTGCTTCAGAAACATTTCCCCACCAGGTGCATGTTCATCTCAAATGTTTATGCTTTTGTCCCAGGATGACAGAACGACAGCAGTCTGTAGGAAGAGTTTGTCTCTCAACAGACCTTTTCTTTGTAAATATGCAGAGAAATTAAGACATTAGTATTTTGAGGTTCCTGCTTTACACCTAATTTGGAAACATGCCTTCAGAGCAGTGACATAATATTGCAAGATTGAAGTGCACAGTGGGATTAATTGCATGGACCCTTGTTTTAATAATCCTGGAGAAGCAGGTCTCCTTCACCAGATCATTTAGTGTCCCGTGTGCCTCCACAAAGACAGATGTTCTTTATATTTGGTGCTGCTAATGAGCTTACCCTTTTAATTTTTCAGCATGAGACTGAGGCTCTAAGAGGATCAAAAGCAGAATCACATGATCTCTGAACAAGTCTGCAAGCTGGAGGTCCTTTTATTCTTTGGATGAGTAAACACAAGGCTCAGCCCCGCTCCTGGAACTTTGTGTTCGTGTGGCCACATGTCGTGGCTGCTGTGTTGTGTGATCTGCTGTGGGACAGGCTGCTCTCATCCCGTCACACATCAGTGCACAAACACTGACCCGGGCCAGCGGGCAGGACAGTGAGCAGCTCTTACATAATCCACGTCAGAGCTGCGTGTCTGTGAAGTGGAGCTTCGTGATGGTGTGTGCGTAAAAGACGCGCGTCTCACCCAAAACAGCGCGTGGCAGTTGACCAGCAGAGTCCTCTCCAGAAGCTCGTCCGGACAGTCCAGCAGCCTGCGTCCCGCCACCACGCCGGCGTTGTTCACCAGGATGGAGACGGAGCCCACCTCCGCCCTCACCCTGTCCGCCGTCTCATAGATGCTCTGGCGCTTGGACAGGTCCACCGTGTACGTGTGCACCTGGACCCCCAGCTCCCGCGCCTGCTTGGCGGTCTGCTCGTTGGCCTCTGCGTTACAGTCCCACAGCACCAGCTGCGCCCCCTCTTTGGCGAACTCCAGGGCGAAGAGCCGCCCCAGCGCGCCCCCGGCCCCAGTGATCAGACAGAGCTCCCCGTCAACGCACTTGAGCCTCGGCCGGAGGATGGTCTGGATGACGGCGCTCACGATGGAGTAGGTGAGGTCTATGAGCATCAGCAGCAGGTCCACGATGACGATCATGGTGCTCCTGTTGGTCTGGTCCTCGGGACAAGTTGAGGCAGACCACCAAGCTTTGGAGGGAGAGTTGTTTGTGTGCGTGGCGCGGTTTGGATGCACATTTTATGTAACCTGTGAGTGCCGGATTAGGACGCGCACTGATGTGGCCACCAATAGGCTGGAGGGGCTTGTTCCCTGATGACGGAGGAGCTGACAGAAAAACTCGTGCACATTCACAAACAGAGGCAGGATTAAGAGAACACCGTGGTCTCACATTTTTAGGGTCCTGATCCAAAGAACCCACATAACACACCGAACCAAGCCCACACTTAGGTTTAATGTATGCATAAGACAGATCTCATAACCGGTAATATCTGCATTAATGGGCTTTTCTTTAGCTCACTGCTGATGATCATAAAGGTTACAGTATTCAAGTACATCAGTAATATTACACAGCTACAGCTCCTACAGTCGTCCTCAGATGCATTAATCTGCTTCCATTAAAGAAAAGGCAAAACTCACAACAGTCACTCAAATAAATAGAACCTGGAAAAAGTAATAATAAATAAAAATTTGCTAAATTGTAGTTTAGCGAAATGAGACGTTGATTTTGAATTGTGGTCGATAAGAATAATTTTTTTAAAAAAAAGAAAAATTTAAAGTTTGAAACAAAAATAAAAAAACCTATTCTTGCTGGTATCAGAAAATAAATGACTGAAGGATGAAAAAATGGTAAATATGTTTTAAAACTTTTATCCTACATATTTTCCCAGTTTTGGTAAATTACAAATAATAATAGTAAAAAAAATTTTTTTTTTAAAAGGAAGAAGAAGAAGTATTATTTTAATGTTAATTGTCAAACAAACAGGCCCAAGCTGTGCATAATGTCCACATTAAAAAAAAAATCTGTATATTTACAGAATTATAATTTGTTATTCTGCAATGGTGAGTGTGAAGTTACACATTTTTTCATAGTTTCACTGTATTTATATCCACTATTTCCAGTTGTTTTCAGAATTTTTCAAATTCCTCTTTTTTTTTAAAAACATATTGATTCATTTTTTGTTTGTTTGTTTGTGTTTTACTTGAAGGACAGGTCCACTTTATTTCAACTCAGGCTGCTGAAGCATCTTTTGATCTGAACTTCAGAGTGCTGGGCTTTAAGCCCTTCATCTCCTGCACTTTAGGAAGAGTTCTCTTCACTACTAGAGGACAAGTGATTGCTGTGATCACTACTGTTCACTTGTGCTTTTAGTTTTAATCGAAACTGCAGAAGCATGTTTCAGAGCAGTGTCGTCTGAAGTCTGCAGCTCCTCTGGGGTTTTCTGTTTCTCAGGATGTTGCTGCGACTCCTCTCACATCAGATATGCTGAGACAGCTGTGACAGCTCCAACATCTGTGTTTCTGCAGCGTTCAAAGGCCGAAGCCTGGCCAGAAGAAACAAGTCAGTGAAGGAGGTGCAAGCTCTGTGTGCATTCCCTCTTTTCTTTGTACAGTTTGATCCAGAGAGCACATTTGTTGGTAAGATTTTTTTTTTCACAGCCTAAACCAACCAAAAGAAAAATCTCTTTCATTCACATTTTTGTGTCACCAAATGGTTTGATGATTGAAATGTGTGATGATTGAAGTAAAGCAGGCGAATAGTTTTTTCCTAATCTGCTCAGAGGGTTCAGGTTCTCTTAAAAACGTGTCTGAATTGTGTCTGTTTGTCCATTTAGAGCTGCTTTCCAACATCCAGCTGTGTTTACTTCTGTCACCACAGTAAACTACTTTTATTTCCAGTGTTGTTGTTTTTTTGTTTTAAATCCATGACTGGTCATCTATTATGCAGACATTCCTTTCATCTGTTATAGAAAGTTATTCCTGATCCGTGATGTGAGGCGGATTATCCAACTCTGAGTAAAATGTTAAGGTGATAAACTGCTTAGCACGAGTGCACAAATTCCTAATATAGGGCTGTTTTTTGGGGGGTTTCTTTTTTTTTTTTTTTAGATTTTTGGAAGACTATTTTTTTCCTTCTTTAGGTTACAATTTACTTTTAATACTTTTAATATATAAGAATAAAATAAAAAGCATTCCACTGTGCTTGTTGCGGCTGTGTGAAGGAGCTGGCTGCAGGGAAAACGACGACTGCATGTGTCTTGGGAAAAGCCAAAAGGTGTGACTGGCTTGACTGTGATGTAATCCTCGCCATAACAACAGTCATGACATAATGTGGCGTGACATACGGAAATCTGTTAAGTGCTTTAGGAGAGAAGTGACAAACATTCATAACACATGACTGAGCCTCAGCCAACACATCAGCTTGTTATTTATAGTAAGACAGTAAAAAAAACAAACAAGACCTACGATGGTGTTAGCTGACATAGCTTACATTAAGAGTTACCGAGTGAAATGAAATAATAAAACCTGAATACAAACTTTGCATGTGATTGATTTTCTGCTTCCAACATCCGTCCTGTGGTTGCTGCTTCTCTCTGTTTCAGTGTTTGGATTACACAGACATCTGGATGTCACAGCAGGCTGAGGGAAGGTAACTCCAGGTAACAGATGATCCGTTAATAGTTAATATTAAACGTTTCCTTGCTCCATCCATCCATCCATCCATCCATCCATCTCTACACCTTAATCCTCACTAGGGTCATGGGGAGCTGGAGTCTATCCCAGCTGACTCAGGGTGAAGGCAGGTTCACCTGGACAGGTAACCAGTCTATCACAGGAATGGCTGTAAGTAATAGGCTGTGATCGTCAGCAGCGAGATGGTCTCATAAGAGCCTCTATAAGAGTGATCGGTGTCTCCTGATGCCTTCGGAGCAGTTAGCAACAGGTGGAGAAGTTTGATTGGTTCTGTGCACACAGACCAAATTCTGAGCAACGGAAAATTAAGAATTTGCAACTTTCCACATATTATTGCTGTGCTGTGCATCGTGCAAAAACCTTGTTTATTGATGGTGTCATGATGTTGTAGCGCTTTTTGGAACAGACTTTATGTTTATAGAGACAGACAACCAAGCACAGGCTGCAGGATGGCGCAGTTGGTTAGCACTGTTGCCTCGCAGCTAGATCACGTCCTGTGAGTGTGCTTGGTTGTCTGTCTCTAAGTGTAGCCCTGTGATAGACTGGTTACCTGTCCAGGTGAACCTGCCTTCACCCTGAGTCAGCTGGGATAGACTCCAGCCCCCCATGACCCTAGTGAGGATGAAGCAGTGTATAGATGATGGATGGATGGACAACCAAGCACATTCACACCTATGGACAATTTACAATCACCAATTAACCTCAGCATGTTTCTGGACTGTGGGAGGAAGCCGGAGAACCCGGAGAGAACCCACGCTGCACGGGGAGAACATGGAGACTCCACGCAGAAAGATCCCTTTCTTCCCATGCTACCAACTGAGCCACCTTGCAACCCTCAAACATGTGCAGTTGTCCTCAAATGTATTCATTCCCTCCCATTAAAGAAGGACAACAACAGCTGCCACTGAAATAATTTCGTTGAACAACTGTTTGACTGAAATCAGGTGTTTCCTGTAACTCTCAGTCAGACTTCTGCACCTGTTGACAGGTGTTCTGGTTTCACTGCTCATCAGCAAAGTGCTCTCATTTGTCTGGGAGAGTTTTTTTTTGTTTGTTTTGTTTTATTTAAATCATTCTTTTGAACCACAATTCAAAAGCAACGTCTTATTTCACTAAATTATAATTTAGCAAATTTTTATGTATTATTATTTTTTCAGTTTCTACTTATTTGATTGACTGTTGTGGTGAATAAATATGAGGACGACTGTGTTCCTGTGAATCCATGTTCAGAGTAATATGAAAGCAGAACAGCAGGGGGCGCTGTTGTATAAAAGCTCAGTCCTTGTAAAACCTCACCATCCTGCTCTCATGTCTTATGTTCCTCCTGCTGATATGCATTCACTAGTTTTATTAAGTTAACAGAGTGAGACTCGTGGCACCAAACGCTGGATTATTGTCTTTTATTAAGCATCAGTCAGTAAAAGGAGAAATCTGCTTCAAAACTGCTCATCGTAGACGTTTTCCTATAGCGTTAAGATGATATTTACAAGTTCAGAGTGTCAAAGTTTAGTAGCGCTACATGCGTTGAACGACGGGAAACCACAAAGATAATATTCTACAAAGTCAACTGGTACAAAGTATGAAACTTTACAAAACAAACGTTTCTCCGGACACAGGAAGGGCAGCGAACAGACCTGTGTGAGCCGAACAGAGTGATTGTTTCCCTGAAGGAGGGGGAAGATTCACAAAATGAAGTCGTGCGTCTGTATTTGGCTTGAACCTCTCGTGTGTTGTATTGTTCTCAAAGAAAATTGCTGCTTAGTGGTGTTTGTTTTTTTTCTTCTTTTCTTTCAATTTGTGCTTTTGGACATTGCATTTGAACCAACGTTTGCTCAAACACAGTGTTTCTACGTTAGTGTTTGTCACTAGACAGCAGAGGATTTAATTCAGACAAATCAATAAAGTGCAGTTCAGAAAACAAGAAAAACAAATTTATAAAAAGAACATCGTTAACATTCATCCAACACAGAAAAGAGCTGTTCCTGTTATAATAGACTATGGCTTGTTTGGAAGAAAGTCCACTATGATTAGAGGCTCATTTTCAAAGGTTTGTCATTGTTTACTGCATGTCTGACTGTTGTGTGATGAATGCTAATGAACCTTCATTCTTCGCCGTGTAACACCCCCACCCACCGCTTTTGTTTTTATTAACTATCTCATCGTTTCTTCTGTCTCCACCACCGTCAGCAGCGAAAGTCATACGAGCATTTGTCAGGTTGACATTTTTATTCCATTCCCATGCAGGGTTAAGGGCTGGGCTGCAAACAATCCCACATGCCGGTGACTGTATGGCTTCCTGTCGGCCTCCGTCGCCCCCCTTCCTCCAGACTCTTCTGTTACAAAGTTTGCTCCTCAGAAGCGGATGACACCATCTGAACAAAGACATTGCAGTAACCGAGCCTTTTTCCTGCAGGCCCAGACCCTCCCTCTGCATGCCCAGGGTGATATTTATAGTATCACAGAATTGAAGACATCCTCAGAAGGATGCCTCAACCCAACTGCCACTTTTTTTTTTTGCATTGTCACTCTGCACAAAAGACTCGAGCACGAGGAAGATCCTTGTCATGGAAAAGCACACACACGAGTGCCGCGTACATACCCTGACTACATAACTCTGCTACCGAATGACAGAGCATAATGGCAGTCGCTTCGCCTGAGGAATGTGGTGCTCCGCTGCCACAAAGGAGCAAGAAAAGGGCAGAAAGATCTTAAGATTCTGTTTTGAATGATGAGTAAAGAGGGGCCGAAGCTGGACGTGAGGAGCAGAGAGCGGCGGCCGTCGCTTGTAATCAAGTCGCTCTCCGTCACACGCCACTCGTTCCTATTCACATTTCACACTCGCACCTTTCTGGAGTCGCTCGCTCAAGTGTTTATTGCAATATCACCTTAGTTTCACAATGTGCTCCGTCTGTTCTGTAATTTTCTGAGATGTGCGCATGTTTCTACGTTTAAAAAAAAAGAAGCGAGTGAAATAAAGGGATGATGTCTGATTGAAAGGGCCCACAATCCAGTTCTCTGTTTACATCAGTTCTTGAGGCTTCACTGTCGCTGAAGTGAGAGGGAACAACTGAGATGAAGAAACAAAACGAGTGAACGAACAGAAATGTAAATGCCGTCTGTTTGTTATTTTAGTCTTTAAGGACTCCATCTCTACAAATTAGGCTACTTGCTTCCATCAAATGTGAGCCATCCAGTCATCTCAAGCATCACCATGGAAACAGTGGTGGTTCACTCCACTCAGTGAGTCTGCACCTGTTTGTTTTTGTGGACCGGGGCCTTTTTTTTCTTCATGTAAATGTTTGGTGCGTTTAAGACGGGGAAAGACATGATGGGAAAATATCGCACGCTGACCCAGTTCTCTGTGTGTTTACGTGCTGTACAGTTTGTTTAATTGTCATCCGGGCGCCGCTGGACGGGGCACAGCGACGGATTCGGTGTGCAGGGTGGACGTCTGTTAAAAGCAAAGGCACAGAAACATCTAACTCATGTTATGTCTAATGACTGCAGACGACCATGCGCGGGAAATGCTTGTACTTCTTTCACTACTAAAAACAGTTCTGCAGCATGCTTGCACGACATGTTGGAAAGTTAGTAATCTTATAAAAGCATGCTCGCACCAGGTGATGAGCGGTCACGTGTTTGGAATCAGGTGCGTTTCAGAGAAGCAGGATGCAGCGTATTAGGCTGAAGCGACGCTGCTCGTAGCTGCAGGGTGTCTTTATGCTTGTAGGAGACGTCATGTGGAATCATGTGAACATAATGGTTTGGATTTCTGGAAGTGAACCACTTGTCAAGGTCCACAGTGTGTAAATAATCAAATTAGGTTTTCAAATGGATGGAAAATAAAGTGCTGTGTTCCCTTTTCATTATCCCTTCGTTTTTGTTTCAACAGCTGTCTTCTTCGGAGGCCTCCAGTGTCCCAAATGAGCAAGAATGGCTCCCTGAAATATGTCCGATTATTTAGAAAAAGGAATGCTTACATTTGTAACATTTTAAGAAGAAGAAGAAAAAAAACTCATTAAAACTTATTACCATCTGTGTGAGTTATCAGAAAGAACAAATCTTTGGTTCTTCACATTGCACAAAGGATCCAGGGACAGACGTTTACAGAGAGACGGTAGCAAACAATACAAATCTATCGACTACAGAAGATCGTCTAATAAACGCAGCTCCATCAAAATAACGCGGTACATATGCTGTAAATGCAAAACTATGAGATCAGCGCAATATATTTGTCTAAGAGTCCATTCTTTTAGAAAATATCTTAAAAATATAAATTATTTCGATTCTTTACCTTGTACAATAAATGTGTATTTTTGTAATAGTTTCTACGTTTTGTAGTTATACATGTACAGTATTCACACTCCTGTGATCTGTCCAGCCACCGTGATGCTCATGAGAACCGTCGTTTTATGCAAAGTTCAGTGTTTCAGCTACAACAGGAATGGCGACTCCTCCACGCGCCTTTGAGAAGGTTTGAAAAACAATGCGAGGCTTCTTATTTTTCTCCAGATTGAAGATGAACTCTGGTTACACCGATCTTGGGGACACACACAGACATTTAGAAACCAACAAAGTAAGTGAACAAGAACAACAGCTTCTTTCTTTCTTTCTTTTTTCTTCCTGTGTTCATAATAAAAAGAGTTATGTTAAGGTGCTCTCTGTTGCCAGCAGTCGGGCACAAGAAGGAAACTGACGGATGCAGCCTCACAGTGTCTCTCTGTGTCGTCTAAATGGATTCTGTGCAGTAAAAAATAACCAGCGAGCAAGACACTAAACTCCTCTTGAACAGAAACAGACCGAAACACTTGATTCTCCTAAAGGTCACACTTAAGACAAGAGACCACGAACGCTACAGAACAATAAATATACTATATATGAAAGGTAATTATTGCACATATATGTGCTATCTGTCTGTCCTTCTCTAGCTTCCTCTCCCTCTCATTCATACAAACATAAAACATGGGACACAGCATGAACTAAGGCCAGTTCTGAGGAAGGAAGCAAACTCTACATTTTCCCAACACTTTGTAATATAGAGAAAACTGTACGTCACCCCTTCATACTACAACATGAAAACATCTCTCCTGTATGTGCCATGTTTCAATGCCCTTTGTGGTTTGCTACTGATTTGACCGCCGTTGCTATAGTGGCTTTGAAGAGGGTTGCTTATAAAAATGACATATTGTACTCTTACAACTAGGCTGTAATTGTTAGATGGTGATCTGGGTAAAACTAATGTAGAAATCGTACAAATCATCCGACTGCATTCGTTGCCACTTTCAAAACTTTCAAGTCTTCCGGTAAATGAATCTATTCAGGAGTCATTGGAAGGAAAAAGTCTGAGAGCAGAACAAAACGCTTTCCCATTGTCCACAGTTTTTTTTTTTTTTCGTATCGTCGTGGGAGAAGCATTCTGTGTCGTAATTCTTCAAACGTTTTCAGTGCCATTCATATTTTCGGGAAGTTCACTGTGCTTGTTATTTGCTCTCCACCTCCTCCGCTTCCTCCTCTCCCGTCTGGTTTCTTTCTTTTTTGTAACCTTAAGAGTTAGAGTGACTCTTCTCTCCCTGAAGTGGCTGTAGTTCCTGAGCCACGTGGTTCTCCTGCCCCTCTAACGGCAGTGTGCTATTCCCCAGCTTCCTCTGGAGTCCCTCCATGTGGTTGGAACTCTGATGGCCAAACTTGGGACTGGCTCTTTCCAGGAGTCTTTGGGTCGGGTTGGTGCCCGAACCGTCGTGCAGGTGCTCCTCTTCGTCTGTGTCGGCATCAATGAACTTATTGATGGACGAATCGTGGAATGTGAAGATGCTGGGCAGTAGATTCTCTGGGCTCTTGCTGGGTGTCCTGCTGCTGGCAGTTGTGTAGACGGACACCTCAGGGCTCTGAACTGATGAGCTGTCTGAGAGGAGTCCTGTCCCTGAATCCTCGCCGCTTCTGAAGTTGACCTTCAGCGAGCGGCTTTTGTTGAAGCGCAGGCCTCTGGGGCTGTCAGAATAAGGACTGGGCTTTACGCCGTCTCCCGTCTGGGGTGTAGAGGTGCCCTGAGATCCTTCATGTTCGTTCTCCATGGTGGGCTCCAGGCTGGGGTTGGTGCTGACCCTCCCAGGCATGTTGCTGACGGGGCTGTGGGAAAAGCGAGAGCTCTCGGGGAAGTCGGTGGCGCAGCTGATGAAGCTGTCGATGCTGGACATGCTCTTCATGTCCGTCACTGCCTCCACCGTGCTGGAGATGGCTTCGGTCGGGATGCTTCCCATCTCAAACTCAACTCTCTGTCTCGCTGTTTTGGACGGCGGCCCTTGTTCCTTGCTGTTGAGGTCGGGCTGCGACTGAGTCTTGGCCATCTTGTTGTACATCTCCTCCAGTTTCTGTGCGCTGAGATGCTGAGGGCTGCTGGAGGGCTTGGCCTGCTCTTGGAAGCTTGATTCCAGGGTCTTGGAGGGGCTGCTGGGGCTGGTCGCTAACTTGAGTTTGGGGGTCCCTCTTTGGGGATTGGGAGACACGTGATTATCATGAACCTTCTCTTCTTTTTCATCACATTTCTCCACCATGACATCCATGAGCTCCACACTGCGGCCAAATGCGTCCTTAATGTTCATAGAGACAATGCTACCGTTTCTCTTAGCCCGCTCCAGAGCCTCCCTTCTCTTGATGGCTTTCTCCTGCCTCTTTTGCTCTTTGTAGAACTCAGAGAAGTTGTTCACAATGATGGGGATAGGTAAAGCTATCACCAGTACTCCTGCAATGCAGCATAAACCCCCAACGATTTTCCCCAACAGAGTTTTTGGGTAAATATCTCCATAACCTACTGTGGTCATAGTTATGGTCGCCCACCAGAACGAAGCAGGGATGCTTTTGAACTTAGTGTCTTCTTCATCTTTCTCAGCAAAGAACACCAGACTGGAGAAGATCATGATGCCCATGGCCAGGAAGAGGATGAGCAGGCCCAGCTCGTTGTAGCTCCTCCTGAGAGTGAAGCCCAGAGACTGAAGGCCTGTGGAGTGACGAGCCAGCTTCAGGATACGCAAGATTCGCATGATCCGGAAAATCTGAACCACACGGCGGACGTTCTGAAACTGCAGCACACTCTTGTTGGACTCTGTCAGGAAGATGGTGACGTAGTAGGGCAGGATGGCCAGCAGGTCGATGACGTTCAGAGGACCCTTGAAGAACTTCCACTTGTTGGGAGAAGAGAGAAAGCGAAGCAGATACTCCATGGTGAACCAGGCAATGCACACGGCTTCCACGTGGGCCAGCTGTGGGTTGTCTGTGGCTTGACCAAACTCGTCCGTGTCCTGCAGCTCTGGGAGGGTGTTCAGAGACAAGGCAATGGTGGACAGCACGATGAAGAGGATGGAGATAATCGCCAGGATCTGGAAAACACAGAGGGAAAGAAATGTTTAAAAATACTGAAGGTGTCTGAGGGACGAGGAGAGCGCCGTATTCATCTGGTGCCCCTTTGAAGGAATAGCAGTCTTTAGTTCAGACTGAAATATCTCAACAGCTGTTGGATGAAATGCAACCAAACCCTGACTTCTCTTCCAGCAGCACCATAACTTTAACAGTTTGGGGTTTAAGGAAACAATCACAACAACTACCAACAGGATTGTTATGAAAGTTGACCCACAAATTCATGACCTCCACAGAAGTCACTCTACTGATCCCAAGAATTCCCATCTATGGCCATTATCAGGCCAGACTTTAGTTCAGGGGTGGGCAATCCTGGTCCTCAAGGGCCACAGTCCTGCATGTCTTAGATGTTTCCTTCTTCCAACACACCTGATTCAAATGATCAGGATCGTTATCAGGCTTCTGCAGAGCTTGATGATGAGCTGATCATTTGAATCAGGTGTGTTGGAAGAGGGAAACATCTAAAACATGCAGGACTGTGGCCCTCAAGGACCAGGATTGCACACCCCTGCTTTAGTTCATCTGTCAGTTTGGTTTGTGACCAAGTAGCTGCAAAATGAACAACATTCTCATCAACTTGTGTTTCCACTAATTAGCAAAAACGAACATGTTAGCACACGACACTAAGATGAGGAACGAGGTCATCATCACCTGCTCCACACCAACATATTAGCCGTGTCATTGTGAGCAGGCTGAGGTCAGCTTTTAGCTCAAAGCCCTGCTGTGCCTCACACAGCTGCTCATGTACACTCCTTATTCAGCCATATTTAGCCTCTAAGACTGTCCGTAGGGTTACTTTACCAACTTCATAAAGTTTGGAACGGAGCTGCTCAGGTGACAAATCAAAGCAAGGACGCGATCAGGACATGCATGCTAACAAAATGTGGATATCTTCGGACTAATTGCCTAATCCAGTCTTTTAATCTTCGTCTAACAAGCAGCAGATGTTTGATCGTCTGTACGTTTCTTCACTGATGATGTTCGCCTTGACTAAAATGAATGAAAGACTCGAAGATTAAAAGCCTGTTCTGAAAATACAAACTCTCTGAAGCCATCTGTTTTGTGATTGCGCCACAGTCCTTCTTATTACCTCCAACACGTAGCCGGCACCACACTTTTTTATTTTTTAATCACAGTTATGCTTCCAAAAAACCCCAAGAAAAGTAGATTGAAGCAGTGCTTTAGCTTTATGCATCACAGATCCTGATTTAAAGGAGGACTGTTGCTTCTTTGCAAATTAAAATGCAGAAAAATAAGGGAATAATTGAACATGGCAGTGGATGTAGAGCTGACTGTCCCCTGAACTTCAAGCTGAATGTTAAAACTCTCCATGAAGGAAAAAGGGCTTTAACAGTGTCAGAGAAAGGTCAGAGCCATGAGAAGCTCTATTTCAAACTGCTGCAATATCATTTTAAAAAATGGCAAAAGTAATATTATTTCGTGACCCCTTTAACTTTCTGACTTTCATGTCAGCGTCTCAAAAGGAATCGGGTCAGAACTAATGTGATCTCTGGGGCAGATGTGTCTTTTTACTCTGTCATTCTCTCACATTGCAGTGAGCGGCAGTGAAGGATGGAGACAAGCGAGAGCATTTGCAGCTGCATTGATACACTTTTCAAAATCCCTGTCACACTTCTTCACTGTCTCCTCCATTTCTAATCAGTTTGCCGCAATCCTTCAACGCCTTCAAGGGCTACAAGGGAACCACAATGTACCGCTTGTTTTACAGAGCACACCCATGCATAGCCCGTGAGCCTGAGTGAAAGGCGGCAGGAGGCCACTGAAGACCTGAGCTACCTATTAATGATATAATCTGCTGAGCACAATAGGGTCTGGTCGTTGTGCCGGGGATTAAGACGCCCGCACAGTTGTGGCTGTGTAGGTGTGCCACACCTATTATTCTTGTCCCAGAGTCAGTGTGAAATCCAACACAAGGTCACTGTGGAGGCTGTGTCCCTGGCGACTGGCAAGCAGGATTATTCGCTGGCACCAATCTGCCTCCATAAGCTTTAATTAATCTTGACAGGTGACTACTTGTACACCTACCTTGGCCTTTGAAGAGAGAGGGACGAAAAGCGGAGAAACCCTGCCGTGGGGTAAGAGGTAAGAGAGGACAGGAGGAGGAAAGGACTGAAGGCACATCGGCTTTAGCAGCCAAACAGTTCAGATGTGAGAGTGAATTAAAGGGCGCACAAAAAAAATAAATTCCCTGAAATAGCCTCCCTCCTGGTGGGGGTCCCAGGAGACACCAAATGATGGATGAGAACTCTCAGATATGACCCATTAGAGGTAGATTTGGTGCTACTGAATAATCACACTCAAGAGAATAAAACGGGAAAAATCAACACGACTTCTTACAGTAAAAGGTGAAAGTTAGCATCGCCACTTTCAGTACTTCTTGTGAATGTGGAGGTCACATAAGTGATCAGAAACCCCTCAGTCTGAATCATAGGAAATGTACGCGCATTGATTGAGCAGCATCATCGCTGAGCCTCGGCTCTAAAACGGGCCGTCCAATGGAAACCGTACTCATCAGATCAAGGCTTATCTGGTTGGACACACTGACCGTGCCGGAGTGCAGTTGATGAATCATGCCGAGGACAAAAGACGGAAACTGAACCTGGGCGTGTTGTGTAAAGAGAACACCTGAAGGATGACCAGCTCCACCTCCCCATCGAATTCTCTCTCTTAGTCATCTTTTCCCCTCCCTGCCCCTCGGTAGTAAGCCAACTGGGGTCAGCCAGGGAGGAGATTACAGAGATGTGATCTCACCGCAGAGACACAGATAGACGCAGGCACACAGAGAAAGAAATTTCGTCCGAGAACACTCATCACGGTGACAAATCTGTGACAAAGGGAGAATGAGGCAAGCCCAGCCGGCGCTTTGCACCACACACTTGTGGGTTTCCTTTGGTTTGGCAACATGAAATACAGGATTGTGCACATAATGAGGAAATTCAATATCTTTATGTTGCTGTTAGAGCACAGCAGGAAGCGGAGAGAAGACAATTAAAGTGTGTATCCTCACAGCGCTTATGAAGGCACTAAAGCAAATGCGTTGAGATGAATATATTTCATTTTGCAGCAGGAGCACTGAGGCTGTTAAGGAGGGTTATGGTTCCTATTGTGTTACCTCATTAGCTCTTAACAACAAGCACTGGGGTCACGGGGGTTGGCCCATCCCACTTCCTGTTTTCATGAACGGAAGATGAATCTGATCGAGACCGCACAACCATAACGCACACACTCATCTGGAACAAACACAACAACACACATGCACAATACACACATATACACTCCCAGCTCAGTAATTAGCCCCGAGCCTCCCTTCCCCACAGGCCCGGAGAGGCAGGAGACTGAATATTTAATATCCTCCTGAAGTGCAAGCTATCCTGTCCTGGAAAAGGTGTGCGGGAGTGGCTCCTCACTGGGCCATGACGGACTGCAGAGCCACAGATGTAGGCCAGTTTTCACACTGCTTTCACAGCACAAGGTCGGGTCTGCTTCATGCTCCACTGAAGGAGCAACGGCCGAGAGAGGAGGGTTTCCACCGACAGCTAGCAGGAGGCTCCTCACAGAGCGGTCAGGAAACTGAGATTTAAAAGACGTGTAGCCAAGTTATTTCCCAGGAATGAAAAACAAAGCATTTTATTGTGTACTTTTCCAAACTTTACGTTTTATCAGACACGTCTTAGTTGGTGCTACCTGGCCTCATTCATCCAGCTCACACTGAACATACCAGAGAGAAAAAAAATAAAAATAATAATGAAAAATATAACTGTGTTCATCAAACTGAGTTATTTTTATGACTTGATCTGTCCCGAGAGTCTGAACAGAACAGCAGCTTGGATTCATGTCACTTATTTACAGGAGTGATGTGTTTCCATGCTGAAGAAATAAAAAATACGAATACAGAGTTTTGCAAACTCTTTTCAACACTCGTCTGCTGCCCATCTGTTTGCTTAACGTGTTTCAAACCAGCACTCTGAAACTTTACTGGGTTAAATGCTAACATTAGCACACTAGAGTGCCCACCAAGAGTTTTAATTTTGTCTTTCTAGATTATCTCAGAGATCCTAATTAGTATTTAGTACAAAGTACAGATGAGGCTAATGGTGGACAAAATACTTACTGGACAATTTTGACCTGGCAGTGACCCTGATAAAAAGTCACCAGCGTTCTTACAACTCATCCTCAGGGGAACACGACTACAGTCACACATCCAACAGGTGTTATGACAGTCCATGTGACAAAGTCCTTGAACTCACCACAGCAGGATTATCAATTAAGTTGTGGCCAAAATATGGCTAAAAACACTGTTTCTGTCCAGACCAGGGGAGGAAATGTATTCAGATCATTTACTTAAATAAAAGTACACAAGTAGTGACAACAAACATGGTAGGAGTAAAAATAAAAGTGGCACCGGTGTGGTCCCTCCGTCTGACATGTTATTACACATGACATCATGTGATTATTAATAGTGAAGCATCGATGTGTCAGCAGCACGTTACTGTTGTGGCTCCTGCAGGTGTTACTGGTTCAAACTGCTCAAACAACAGATAAATGTGAGAGGGTGTCAGATTGTTCACAGGAGAAGAAGAAGAAATCTTTCATTTTTGGTGAAATATTGGATCATTTATTCAAATGAAACCACATGAGAAGTCTGGAGGAATGAAGTCAGTCATCTGAAATGTGACTAACTAGACGTTATTTGTAAGAAGCCAAAAAGGTTGAATAAAATCACATTTAATCTTTAACTATGTTGTATTTTTAAAAGCTGGTTATTGCACCACTTGCTTAAAGTCTTTCTTAAAGTAACTGAGGCTGTAAAATGAAATAGAAAGTAAAACACCTCTTTAAGAGGTAGTGGACCGGAAGAATTAAGCAGCCTGAAATGGACATTTACTCAAGTAAAGTACTTGAGTAAATGTCCTTTGTTACTTTCCATCGCTGCAGCAGAGAT